CGGGGGGCCCCCCTGGGGGCCCCCCGGGGGGCCCCCAGGGGGGCCCCCAGGGGCCCCCGGGGGGCCCCCGGGGGCCCCTAGATATGTCTAAAGTGGTGTTGAAGGAATATGAAGAAACCCCTGCGGGGCCCACAACGCCGACGGGCAATATTATAATAGACTCTGTGAATCGTTTGCTGGATGAGTGGTACTTTGGCAAAGAAGAAGTGCAGCAGCAGCAGCAGCTGCTGCTGCAGCAGCAGCAGCAGCAGCAGCAGCAGCAGCAGCAGCGCGCGGCTGCAGCGGCGCGTGCAGCAGCAGCAAACAAGTGCAGAGGCAGCACGGACTACAGGGCCTTTTTGTCTTCTCTTTTTTCTTTTTCTTTTTTCCAAAAAAGTTCTTTTCCTCCGCTTCCTGCTGCAGTGCAGCAGGGCCGTTTTGCTGCTGCAGATCCTTTTTCGCGGGAGCTGCTGAGTCAGCTTTCTCAGGGGGAAGCGGAAGTCCATTTGCCCTACCTTCACTTCCACAAGCCGCTGCTGCAGCAGCAGCAGCAGCAGCAGCAGCAGCTGCAGCAGCAGCAGCTGCAGCAGCAGCTGCTGCAGCAGCAGCTGCTGCAGCAGCAGCACAGAAGCTCGAGCACCCCGAGGGAGGCGCGGCTGCTGCGGACAACAGCAGTCTATTCCGGCACAAAAGACAGCAGCAGAAAGGTAAGCAGCAAAACAGCAAGCAGCTAGTCCTGCTGCTCGTGCTGCTGCTGCAGCTCTTTTTGCGCAGCGCAGTCGCGTCTCTCTAGGGTGTCTCGACAGCTTGCGGGCCGGAGAGGCAGAAAGCAACAGCAGCAGCTGCTGCCTGGCTCTTCTGCTGCTGCTGCTGCTGCTGCTGCAGTTGCTGCAGCTGATGCAGTGGCTGCTGTTGCTGCTGCTGCTCTTGCTGCTGCAGTTGCTGCAGCTGATGCAGTGGCTGCAGTTGCTGCTGCTGCTCCTGCTGCTGCAGTTGCTGCAGCTGATGCAGTGGCTGCAGCAGCTGCTGCTGCTGCTGCTCTTGCTGCTGCAGTTGTTTCTGCTGCTGCACGTGTTTCACTTTGCTTCCTTTTTCAAATTCAGAAATATTTAATTCCAAATAAATTTATTTAAAATCAAAAAGCCTTCTGCAGCAGCAAAAACCCACAAGCCCCAGCGCTCTCGCCGCAGCCAACTCACTGGCTAGCCAGCTAGCTAGCCACGCAGCTAGCTAGCCACTGAGCCAGCTAGCTAGCTAGCTAGCCACTGAGCCAGCTAGCTAGCTAGCTTTATCTACACTAGCTAGCTAGCTAGCTGGCGTGCCTGGCTAGGTCGATGGCTAGCTAGCTAGGATGCCTGGCTTAGTAGCTCTCCGTAGCTACCTAGCTGGCTAGCTAGCTGGCTAACTAGCTGGCTAGCTAGCTGGCTAGCTAGCTAGTGTAGCTAGCTAGCCAGCCAGCACGGCTTCGTAGCTAGCCAGCTGGATGGCTAGCTAGTGACTAGCTAGCTGCTCAACTAGCTAGCTACAAGACCACCGGCCCGGCCAGCAACGCAGCTAGTTAGCTAGCTAGCTAGCTAACTAGCCAAATAGCTAGCTGGCTGGCTAGCTAGCTAGATAATAGCTAGATAGCAGCTAGATAACAAACTAAATAGCCAGCAGGCTAGCTAGCTAACTAGCTAACTAAATAGCTCCCTGGCTAGCTAGCTAGCTAACTAACTAACTAACTAAATAGCTAGCCAGCTAGCCAGCTAGCCAGCTAGCTAGCCAGCTAGCTAGCCAGCTGGCTAGCTAGCTAGCCTACTAACTAACCAAATAGCTAGCTAGCTAGCTAGCTAGCTAGCTAGCTAACTAGCTAACTAACTAACCAAATAGCTAGCTAGCTAGCTAGCTAGCTAGCTAGCGAAGGAAGACCCAAGAAGGCACCCCACATTAGGCCGCAGCCGCAAAGGCCCAGCGGAAAGAAAGAAAATAAAACTCCGTCGGCGGACTGCAGGCCGCGCCGCGTTTGCATGCGCAGTCTGCACAGAGCTGCAGCTAGCTAGCTAGCTAGCTAGCTAGCTAGCTAGCTAGCTAGCTAGCTAGCTAGCTAGCTGGCTGGCTAGCTAGCTGGCTAGCTGGCCAGCTGGCTGGCTAGCTAGCTGGAGATGGCTGTGTACCTGGATAGCTCGCGAGCCGCCTGAGGCGGGTCGCGCAGCTAGCCAGCTAGCCAGCTAGCTAGCTGGCTAGCTAGCTAGCCGCCTGTTAGCTAGCTAGCTAGCTAGCTAGCTAGCTAGCTAGCTAGCTAGCTAGCTGGCTGGCTAGCTAGGGATAGGAGGGGGCACACATCCCTGCAGGCAGCAAATGTTTGTGAACTGCATTCGCCACTAGGGCCTGGAAGCCTGAAGCAGCAAACCCCGCGCTGCTGCTGCTGCTGCTGCTTCCATTATTTTGCTGTTTCTTGCTGCTGCTTCTTTAGCTGCTGCAGCACGAGGCCTCAGGTGTCACTTCATCGAGAACAGACGCATGCAGATCTGCAGCTCGCCCATAGAAGGCGTCGCGAGGCTGTCGGTTGCTGCTGCTGCTGCTGCTGCTGCTGCTGCTTCTGCTGCTGCTTCTCCTGTTGCTGCTGCTTCTTCTGCTGCTGCTGCTTCCGCTTCTGCTGCTGCGTCCCAATCCATGGCCTCGTCCTCTTGCCTGCTCCCTCCAAGCTCTGCCTCTCGAGCAGCAGCAGCTGCTGCTGCTGCGGAGTCAGCTTCAGCAGCAGCAGCAGCTGCTGCTGCAGCAGCAGCACCGCCGCAGCCTGCAGCATTTTCTCCACAGCTGCTGCCTGCTGCTGCTTGCTGCTGCTGCTGCGGAACCCCTGAAGCCCCACTCGCCGAAGCAGCAGGTCCGGCCCCCCAAGGCGCGGGGCGCACTCTACGGCGCTGCCGGCGAAAGGGCCCTTGCTGCTGCTGCTGCTGCTGCTGCTGCTGCTGCTGCTGCTGCTGCTGCTGAGGATCGTCTTCGTCAATGAGCGCCGCCAGGGCTGACAGCAAATGGTTTTTCTTGAACTCTGCTGAAGTGGGAACGCGCGTCAGGAACAGCGGGTGGTCTTCTATGGAGGGTTCCGCAGCAGCAGCAGCAGCAGCTGCTGCTGCTGCTGCTGCAGCAGCTGCTGCTGCCGCCTTTTCCCCCCCTGCGGCCATTCTGGGAGCAGCAGCAGAATCAAAGGCGCTGCAGGCCGACTGGCATTGCGGTGGGCCGGCAGACGCCGAGCGTGGACTGAAGAATCTGCTGCTGCTGCTGCTGCTGCTGCTGCTGCTGCTGGTAGCGGGCGCCGCTCGGCAGATTACTGGCGGCAGTTGGAAGGAAAATGCAAAACGAAAGTAAATTCCTTTTTGAAAGAGAATCTGAGCCGCGAAAATGGCGAAGATTCCCTCCTGAGAAGTTGGTCGCCACCAGCCCCAGCGCACGAACTTGAACAGGCGCGAATACGCGGGAAACTCGGGTCTATAGGACTCCCGGAGAGTTGAAAAAAAAGAGAAGAGAGTTTTCGTTCTAAAGGGAGAAGTTATTTGCAATTTGAAGGCCAACTTCAGCCAAGTTCAAAGAGCTGCCGCCGGACTGGCTGCATGCAAGTTGAACTGCCGCGTCGGCCGCGGGGCGGAAAGCAGCAGATTTCTCCCCAGTTCAGCGCTGTTTCCCTCAAATAAATGCAAATAAACGTATTTATAAACATTTCAATTTAAACGAGCCTCTTTTTCCGGCGAATTCCCCACGCCTGCGCCGAAATGCCTGCGGTTCCTCCTCAGTGAGCCGCTGCCGACTGCAGCCTCAATAGGAGTTCTCAGGCAGCCACCCAACCCCTTCGCAGCAAACAAGCAAATTAAAATCGACAAATTACAAACAAAAACGATAAAAAAACTAAATTTAAAACTAAAAAGGAAAGCTGGAGCTGAACTGCGTTTCGCGCCGCCGCTGCTGCCGCTGCTGCTGCTGCTGCTGCTGCTGCTGCTGCTCATTCAAGTTCCCGCTGCGTTCATATTCGCCAGCTGAGGCGATCTTCTGCGTTTTTTTCCCCTTATTGGTTTATTTTTGAATTATTTATTTCATTTATTTTTAATTATTTATTTCATTTGTTTCATTAATTCAATTTTTCAGCTTTTTCGGCCACAAACACCTCGCTGCTGCTGCTACTCACCTGCAGGGTCTGCTTGCTCTTTGGCTCTGCGCGCACAGGGCAGCAGCAACTGGGGAAAGACAAGTGGGACTCCCAAGTGGAATTCGAAAGCATTTGAAACGCTGAAGACATTTAAATTAAATTAAATTAAATTAAATTAAATTAAATTAAATTAAATTAAATTAAATTAAATTAAATTAAATTAATTAAATTAAATTAAATTAAATTAAATTAATTCGAAATTTGAATCGAATTCGAAACATGAAGCGAATTATTCGCCGCTGTGGGTTCCCGCGGCTGCGCGGCGGTTCTGCGGGAGCTTTTCGCGGCGTTTGAACGCAAATTAACTCCAATTTGAAGATTAAAAGGCCAATTAAAACAATTAAAACAATTAAAAGCATTTAAAACATTAAAAAGCGTTTAATTGAGTCCAAAAACCCACGGCCGCTCCCAAATTCCGCTGCGATCGCGCGGAGTCGGCGCCTCCGTGTCGCTGCTGCTGAAGATTTCCGGAGCAGCAGTTTTGGCTTTTACAGCTTCTCTTTTGCGCTGCGACCTGTACATACACCTCAAATTGACAAGTCCAGTCAAACTCTGCGCTTTTTTTAATGCCATTTTCTCTTTTCGGCGCTCCAAACGCACCCAGAAACCCTAAACCCTAAACCCTAAACCCTAAACCCTCAACCTGAACGAAGCCAGTAACTGGCTGCTGGCCTGTAGATACACCTGGAGCCAGCCGCCGCCGCGCCAAACCCTCGGCGGCTCTGGCCTAGGGTTTAGGGTTTCCGAGGGTTTAGGGTTTAGGGTTTAGGGTTTAGGGTTTCCGAGGGTTTAGGGTTTAGGGTTTAGGGTTTAGGGTTTACCTGTAATTCGCGCAGTGAATTATACCCACTGTTGCCACTGCCCCCAAAACAAAGGCCACCAAAATCATGCAGGGCACAAACCACTTTTCCCCTCCCGGTTCTGCTGCTGCAGCGCAGCAGCAGCGCAGCAGCAGCGCAGCAGCAGCGCAGGAGCAGCACAGCAGCAGCGCAGCAGCAAGTTGCACTTGCGTGAGAAGCAAAGTGAAAAGAAGCAGCAGCGCAGCAGCAGCGCAGCAGCAAATTGAATTTGTGGGAAGAAATAATAAGGCAGCAGCAAACATAATTAATTAATTAATTAATAATTAATTAATTAATTAATTAATTAATTAATTAATTAATTAATTAATTAATTAATTAATTAATTAATTAATAACTTAAGTCAAAATTTTAAAAACAAAATTAATTTTGAAATTAACATTTAAAAAAAGAAAAAAACGCTGCAGACAGATGGGGAGCAAAAGCCGCTGCAGCAGCAGCAGCAGCAGCAGCAGCAAAGCAGCACTTAATAAATAAATAAATAAATAAATAAATAAATAAATAAATAAATAAATAAATAAATAAATAAATAAATAAATAAATAAATAAATAATAAAACAAATTAATTAATTAATTAATGATAAATAATTAATTAAATAATATAAAATATAAGCGGAAAAATAATAACAAACGAAGTGGCTAATAATTCAGATAAATTAATTAATTAATTAAAACAAATAAAACAATCATTTAAATGAATAAATAAACAATTAATTAAATTAAGTAATTAATTGTTTTATTTATTTATTTATTTATTTATTTATTTATTTATTTATTTATTTATTTATTTATTTATATATTGAATAATAATTAGTTTCTTACTGGCATCTGTTTCGCCGTCTTGCTGCTGCTGCTGCTGCTGCTGCTGCTGCTGCTGCGAAAGTTCTGTTTGTTTGCTTCCAAGTTTTAAAGCATTTCCCAAGACAAGTCGACAAAAAAAGGCAAAAGAAGCAAAATATAAAAGAAAGCTGCTGCAGCAGCGGGGCCCCGCAGCAGCAGCAGCAGCAGCAGCAGCAGCAGCGGTTGCAGCAGCAGCAGCAGCAGCAGCAGCTGCTGCTGCTGCTGCAGGCAGCTGTCGCGCCCCCATTTCCAGGCAAATGCGGCGACGTCTTTGCTGCCTCTTTTGCTTCTTTTGAATTTATTTGAATTTGTTTTTTATTTTTTATTTTATTTATTTTATTTATTTTATTTATTTGTTTTATTTATTTATTTTATTTCTTTTTATTTCTTTTTGCTGCTTCTGCTGCTTATTTGCTGCTTATTTCTCCCTTGAGTCTTTTTGTTTTTCTTTTTATTTTTGTTTAAAGGCAGAAGAAGCTGCAGCAGCAGCAGCAGCAGAAGAAATAAATAAATAAATAAATAAATAAATAAATAAATAAATAAATAAATAATAAAAAATAAAAAACAAACAAACAAATGCTTATTTATTTGCAAAGACGCAGCTCTCCATATACAAAAGCGGCTGAGTCCACGCTGTTTGCTGCTGCTGCTGCTGCAGTTGCTGCTGCTGCTGCTGCTGCTGCTGCTGTTGCTGCGCGTGTGCTGCTGCTACGGCTGCTGCTGCATCTGCTGCCTCATCTGCTGCTGTTGCTGCTGCTGCAGCTGCTGCTGCAGCGGCGCGGCGCGCGTGCTGCTGCGCCTCCCTGCTGCTCCCAGGCCTCCTTTTTGCGGCTTTTTGTTGCTTTTTGCTGCTGCTGCTTTGCTGCTGCTTTGCTGCTGCTTTGCTGCTGCTTGCTGCTGCTATTTTGTCTCCTTTTTGCTTCTTTTTGTCCCTTTTTTGTCCCTTTTTGTGTCCTTTTTGCTGCCTCTTTCTCCCTTTATTTGCCAGCCAAAAAGCTGCCTCCTGCTGCCTTCTGGCCAGCCATCGAGGGGGCCCCTCAGCAGCAGCAGCTGCTGCGCCCAGGCCGCCGCGGCGCAGCAGCAGCAGCAGCAGCAGCAGCCCCCGCAGCAGCAGCAGCAGCAGCAGCAGCAGCAGCAGCGGGAGGAGACGCTGCAGGTGGGGTTGGCATGAGAAGAGGAGGCAGCAAGTTGCGGAAGAGACAGAAGAGCTCGTGGCAAAAATGGCAACTTCGAGCAGCAGCAGCAGCAGCAGCAGCAGCAGCAGCAGGGGAGTTGAGGTGTACGTACACCTCAGGGGCCTCGAGTCGCTGCAGCGAGTTTCGGGTGTATGTACACCTCGGGGAGTTGGGGCGAGTGCAGCAGAAGGAAGAGCGGAACGGGATTTGCTGCGGGCTGTTGCTGCTGCAGCGGCGGCAGCAACGACGCAGCAGCAGCAGCAGCAGCAGCAGCAGCAGCAGCAGCAGCGGGGAATGAGAAATGTGGAGGGAAGTGAGGGGAGTGGAGGGAAAAGAAAGTTGAGGAAAGAAGAAAAGCCCGAAAGCGCAAACAGAGCCACTCAAGCGCCAGCTAGCCACTGCCAGGCTAGCAGGGAGGCCTCGGCGAGGGGCCCCGGAGGGATTTTCGAGGAGTTTTCGGAGTTAAAAATAATTAATAAGTTCTTTTTGAGTTTATTTCAGTGTTTGCGCGGCGGGGGGCTGCTGCTGCGGCCGCAGCGCAGCAGCAGCAGCAGCAGCAGCAGCCGCCGCCGCTGCTGCTGCTGCTGCTGCGGTGTACAGACACCGCCCGCGCCGCCTCCTCAAGCCGCAATTTGCTAATTAATTCATTTATTTCATTCTTTTAATTCGCCGCGCAGCGCAGCAAAGAGCTCTGCGGGCGCTGGCGGCGGCGCCGCAGCCGCGGGTGTTGCGGTGTACGTACACCCCAACACCACGCAACAACCTACTGCGACCCCCACACCGCCCTCCCTACCCTAAACCCTAAACCCTAAACCCTAAACCCTAAACCCTCAACTTCGACCCACACACCGCCCTCCGGAGCCCGCAGACCCCGAAAACGGGCCTCGCCGCCACCACGGCCAGCCACAGCTAGCCACAGCTAGCCCCAGCTAGCCACAGCTAGCCCCAGCTAGCCCCAGCTAGCCCCAGCGAGCCACAGCTAGCCCCAGCTAGCCACACGCAGCCACAGGCGGCCCCAGCTAGCCACGGGCGCCCCCAGCTAGCCGCAGGCAGGCCCCAGCTAGCCACAGCGAGCCACGGGCAGCCACAGCTAGCCACGGGCAGCCACGGGAGGCCTCAGCTAGCCACGGGCAGCTGCTCGAAGCCCCAGCTAGCCACACAGAGCCCCAGCTAGCCACAGCTAGCCACAGGAGCAGCAGCTAGCCACAGGTAGCCGCAGCTAGCCACGGCTGCCCAAGGACAGCCACGGGCAGCCACAGCTAGCTGCAAACAGCTTAACACAGGCCCTGGCAGCCCCAGCTAGCCACAGCTAGCCACAGCTAGCCAAATGCCCCCACAGAGACCCACAGCTAGCCACAGGCAGCCGTGGGGGCCCCCAAAGTCCCGGCAGCTAGCTGAACTTAGCCCATCTCCAGGGGCCCTCGTGTTGCTGGGGGCCCCTGTCTCGGGGGCCCCTAGGGGGCCCCCTAGGGGGCCCCCTAGGGGCCCCTTAGGGGGCCCCCAAGACATAAAGATGAAACCCTTTTGGGGCCCCTAGGGGGCCCCAAAAGGGTTTCATCTTTCTTAAGAAGGGCCCCAAGTTTGAGCCTTTTGCAGAAAGTCTTTATTTCCAAATCAGTCATATCTTTGGGGGCCCCAGGGGCCCCTGGGGCCCCCACAGATATGACTGGGGGCCCCCAAGGGGCCTCTATTGGGCTGGGGGCCCTTGGGGGCCCCCCAAAGGGCCCCAGGGGGCCCTCAAAGGGCCCCTGGGGGACTCCTGAAGGGCCCCCAAGGGCTTCCCAAGGGGCCCCCAAGGGGCCCCCAAGGGGGCCCCCAAAAGGGCCCCCAAGGGGGCCCCAAAGGGCCCCCAAGGGGGCCCCTGGGGGCCCCAAAAGAAAGGAATTGGGGGCCCCCTTTAGAGAGGGTTTGGGGGCCCCTTTAAAGGTTTGGTTTCCTCTTCAATGAGGGTGTGGGGGCCCCCTTAAAAAGGGTTTTGGGGTTCCCTTTGAAGAGGGTTTCGGGGGCCCTCCAATGAGGGTTTGGGGGCCCCCAAGAGGGTTTGGGGGCCCCCTTTGAAGAGCTTTTGGGGGCCCCCAGAGGGTTTGGAGGGTTTGGCGGACCTTAAAAGGGTTTGGGGGCCCCCATGAGGCTTTAAGAACCTCTAAGAGGGTCTGGGGGCCCCTAAAAGGCTTTGGGGGCCCCCAAAGGGTTTGAAGGCCCCTGAAAGGGTTTGGGGGCCCCCGAAAGGGTTTGGGGGCCCCCAAAAGGGTTTGGGGGCCCCTAGGAGGGTTTGGGAGCCCCCAAAAGGGTTTAGGGTCCCCTAAAAGGGTTTGGGGGCCCCTAAAAGGGTTTGGGAGCCCTTAAAAGGGTTTGGGGGCCCCCAAAAGGGTTTGGGGGCCCCCAAAAGGGTTTGGGGGCCCCCAAAAGGGTTTGGGGGCCCCTAGGAGGGTTTGGGAAATCTGCGGTGGTTCCAAACATCCATCATGAGGCCCTTCCTGTCTATGAAGTTGGGGTCTTTCCAGGAGGCAGGCAGGGGGACCTCGGGCAGCTGCAGAAACCCTTAACCCTAAACCCTAAACCCTAAACCCTAAACCCTTAACCCTAAACCCTAAACTCTAATGAATATACAAGGAGCATCCTAGACTGGCAGCAGGTGCGCATGCGGAGAAAGCCACGTGGAGACAAATAAATGCGCAGATTAGTGAATATAACAAGCCCCAAACCCTAAACCCTAAACCCTAAACCCTAAACCCTAAACCCTAAACCCTAAACCCTTGCCTGAGGCGTTCTTCATACACGGTGGAACGAAGCAGCTGCTGGGAGCTCGACTTGACAATGCTTTAGGGTTTAGGAACAAGGGCTTAGGAGCTCGGGTTTAGGGACTCAAAATTAGGGTTTAGGGTTTAGGGTTTAGGGTTTAGGGTTTGGGGTCCACACTCACCGAGCCAACCTCATAGGCCCACGCAACTTCTTCTTTAGGGTTTAGAGAAGGTGCAAAGCGCGCTGTTCCATCGCGCGGCAGCTGGTCCTGAAAAAACCCTAAACCCTAAACCCTAAACCCTAAACCCTAAACCCTAAACCCTAAACCCTAGGGGCTGACGCGACCGCTGCACTCCTCTGGTAACACTGGCGCTGCAGTCCCAGCGCTCCCCACCCGGAAACCCCAAACCCCAACCCCAAACCCCAAACCCCAAGCCCTAAACCCTAAACCCTAAACCCTAAACCCTAAACCCTAAACCCTAAACCCTCACTTTGAGGGTTTCGAGAGTCACTGCAGAGTAGGGGGGGGAAAACCGCAGCTGCGAAACATCTACGAAAAGAGGGGGCGGGGGTTCGGGCCCCACAAACTGCACGGGGACTGTTGGCCGCGCGAGCTCCACGTGGTAGCCTGCAGCAGCAGCAGCAGCAGCAGCAGCAGCAGCAGCAGCAGCAGCAGCAGCAGCAGCAGCAGCAGCGGCGGGGGCGGCGGCGGGAGATGCAGCGGCGGCGGCGGCGGCGCGAGGCCGCAGCAGCAGCGGGAACGGGCGCAGCAGCGAGCAGCAGCAGCTGCTGCAGGCAGCAGCAGCAGCAGCAGCAGGGCCTAGGGTTTAGGGTTTAGGGTTTAGGGTTTAGGGTTTAGGGGTACCTTGGTGGTAGGCCGGGCAGGCCAAAAGGCCCAAAAGGGTTAAGGGCAAATCCACTTGGGAAACTTCTCCTTCTTTGTGTCTTTGAAAAAGAATGAAGTATATGTGGCGGGCCACTGACACGCAAACCCTAAACCCTAAACCCTAAACCCTAAACCCTAAACCCTAGCGCTGTGTCGGGAGCCTCTGCGCCAAGAACCCCAAACCCTAAACCCTAGGCCTCAACCGTAAACCCTAAACCCTAAGCCCGAAACAACAGCATGCGCATACACGCGAGCAGCCACTGCAGCACAGCAAACCCTAAACCCTAAACCCTAAACCCTAAACCCTAAACCCTAAACCCTAAACCCTTGTTTCTTTTAGGGTTTCGCAGACTCACGGGGGTCTACCTTTGCTGCCTTCACCAGACAATGCTCTATTACATTGCCCACGCGCAGCTTGTAGAGGCGCGCCTTAAACACTGCGCGCAAACCCTAAACCCTAAACCCTAAACCCTAAACCCTAAACCCTAAACCCTTGCCCCCAGGCCTACGGCCCTGGGCCCACGCCCTGAGCAAGGATTCAGCTTGGCCGCAGCAGCAGCAAACCCTACAAAACCCTAAACCCTAAACCCTACAAAACCCCAAACCCCAAACCCTAAACCCTAAACCCTAAACCCTAAACCCTAAACCCTAAACCCTAAACCCTACGGTGGGAAAGGTGTCCGTGGGCCTCGTCGAAGGCGAGGGGGAAAACAGCAGCAGCAGCAATTGCCAGTTTTCTATAAGGCCCTTTTCCTTCAATTGCTGCTGCAACAAATCCAGCAGCAGCAAGCTGCTGGCTGCTGACGAAGCGCTCCCACGGGCTGCAGGCCACGCTCACGCTGCTGCTGCCCTGCTGCTGCTGCTGCTGCTGCTGCTGCTGCTGCTGCTGCTGCTGCAGGTCTGAAAGACTCGTTGCGGGGCCCCGCAGCTGCTGCTCGAAGAAGACAGCCATTTCTTCGCGCAGCAGCGGCCACTGCAGCCGCCGCATGGCGCGCTGGAAGCTGGCAATCCCCCGCTGCTGCTGCTGCTGCTGCTGCTGCTGCTGCTGCTGCTGCTGCAGCTGCTGCTGCGGGGAAGGGAAGTGGGGGGGCGCAGTCAGGCGCTGCAGCCCCTGCTGCGGCAGGGCTCCGGTGTGGCCGCTGCGAGGCGCCCCCTGCTGCAGCAAGTGCTGCTGCTGCCGCTGCTGCCGCATGTGTTGCTGCTGCTGCTGCTGCAGCACGTGTTGCTGCTGCTGCTGCTGCTGCGGCCTTGAAGCCTGCAGACGCAGCCAAAGCGGGGCTAAGCCCCTACAAATCGGGGGGCCCCCCAGCCGCTGCATTTGTGGGGCCTCAGCAGCAGCAGCAAGGGGCCCCCGAATGCCTTCAAGGCAGCAGGGGCCCTCTGCGGTCCCACTGCTGTGTGGATCCAAGCGCTGCTGCTGCTGCTGCTGCTGCTGCTGCTGCTGCTGCTGCAGATGGCTGCGGGGGCCCTTTGGGCTTATCTTTCAATTGTTTAAATATATTTAACTAATTAATTCAAACGAAGTAAGACACAAAGAGAAAGAAAGCAGCAGCGCAGCAGCAGCAGCAGCAGCAGCTGCAGCGGGAGCTGCTGGGGGCCCCCAAGGCGCAGCCGTCGAGGCACTGTGTGTTCGAATATCAGATTTGTTATTTATTTGAATTTTAAATTAATTTATTTTTATTTTTTATTTATTTAAATTCAAATTTAATTTTCTTTCCTTCTTTTTATTCCCATTCCCCTTCACAAGCCCGCACACCCGCAGCACGGCGGCACAGGGGCCCCCTGGGTACTTCGGGGGCCCCCAGGGGGCCCCTTGGGGCCCCCCGGGGGCCCCCTGGGGCCCCCCGGGACACTTTTTGGTACTTTAAGGCCCACTAGAAGCTTCTTTAGCTTCTGATTGGCATTAAGCTTTCTTAATTTCCCCTCTGAGGCCCCCAGGGCCCCCTGGGGGCCCCCAGGGGCCCCCGTAACTTCTTATGACCCCTCCAGGGGCCCCTTAAACACAAAAGGGTACCCTCTGGGGGCCCCCTAGGGGCCATTCCTAGCTTCTTAAGTACCCCCAGGGGCCCCGGGGGGCCCCTGGCAGCTGTGGGGGCCCCAGGGGTCGCACTGGCCAGTTTGCTGCTTCCGTTTTTATCTATTTGCTGCTGCTGCTGGACCCAAAGGCGCCCTACTCAAGCAACTTTGCTGCTGCTGCTGCTGCTGCTGCTGCTGCTGCTGCTGCTGCTGCTGTCGCGTTCGTCGGGGTAGCAAATGGGGTGGTAGTGGCTGTGCTGCATTCTGCTGCTGCTGCTGAAGGCCCCCTGCAGACACTGCAGCAGCAGCACGCCGAGGACTTGGCCGTGGCGAGTGTGTCTTCTGTCTTGGCTTGCTTCGGTGTACAGACACGGCTGGCAAGAAACTGCTGCTAAGTTTGCTGCTGCAGCAGCAGCACAAACCACCTGCAGCTCTTGGGGGGGGGCCCCCAGCTGCAGCAGGTACTCCTGGAGGCCCTCTTCGTAGACCTTTTTGTCAGCAGCAGGAACATAAAAGGCCGACAAAACGGTCTTTCCGGGGGCCCCCCGGGGGGCCCCCCTGGGGGGCCCCCGCGCAAGGAATACGCAGCGCACCACGTCGCTGCTCCAGCCACCCGGCGGGCTGCTGCTGCTGCTGCTGCTGCTGCTGCTGCTGCTGCTGCTGCGGGATATCGGAAGCAGCGAACCCTCAGTCCCCCGCGGCCCACTCAGCAGGCCCGCCAACGAGCCCAGACACAGCCACAAACCCCACAAAGTCTTCATTTCAAACAACTGCTGCTGCTGCTGCTGCTGCTGCGCTGCTGCTGCTGCTGCTGCTGCTGCTGGGAGTGTGGGGTGGCGACACAGAGAGACCGACAGTCGAACACGCCCAAAAAACTAAAAGAAAACACACGAAGAGCAACAACTGCTGCTGCTGCTGCTGCCGCTGCTGCTGCTGCTGCTGCTGCTGCTGCTGCTGCTGCTGTGTCTCGAGGCTTCAGGGGGAAAAGCCTGCAGCCAGAGACGCCAGAGATCGCAGGCGTGGGGTGTATGTTCAACTTGAGATTAAAAAAAATAAATATTTTATTTGAAATTCAACTTTCAAACAGAGCCAGCAGCAGCACAGCTGCTGCCTCTGCTGCTGCTGCTGCTGCTGCTGCTGCTGCTGCTGCTGCTGCTGCGGAGCACTGCGAGAGGCGCAGCGTGGGCCCCACAACTGGGTTTGTCCTTGTGTCTATCGGCCTTTTTCCTTTCTTTCTTTCTTTTCTTTTAAAATATTTATTTTTAAATATAAAATAAAGTATTTTGAGGCTTCAAATTAATCAAAGATGCCCCGCACTGCCGATACACCCCACTGCCCCCGGTGTCTTCTCTTCCCGCTGTACATACACCCCACAAGCAGACACAGGGGCCCCCCAAATGGCCCCTAGGGGCCCCTTGAGAGGCCCCAGGGGACTTTTGGGGGCCCCCAAGGCCATTTAGGGGGCCTCTAGGATCTCATGGGGGCCCCTAGGGGCCCCCAAGTGATCCTTGATCTGGGGGGTCTCCTAGGGGCTCCCTGGGGCCCACAGGAACTCCTTGAGGTCCATTGGGGGCCCCCATGGGGCCCCTAAGTGAGTCCAAGGGTCACCCGGGGGCCCCAGGGGTCCTTTTGGGGCCCCCAGAGGATCTTAAAAAGCCCCAAAACGGTCTTGGGGGCCCCAGGGGACCCCCAAGACTGTTTTGGGGCTTTTTTAGATCCTCTGGGGGCCCCTTGGGGGCCTCAGGGGCCCCTTAGGGGCCCCAGGGGCCCCTTGGGGGCCCCAGGGGCCCCTTGAGGGTGTCTGGAGTACCTCAGTGCTGAGGTGTAGATACACCCCAGAAGGTCTCTACAGTTAAAACAAAAGATACATTTGCAGCTATGACGAGGCCACGCACACACTCTAGGGTCCACAAGGGGGCCCCCAAGGGGCCCCCAGGGGGCCCCCAGGGGGCCCCCAAGGGGCCCCCAAAGGGCCCCCGAAGGGCCCCCAAAGAAGCCGCTAATGAGCTCTTCGAGGGCCCTTAAAGAGAGCCCCAAAGGGGCCCCCAAAGGGGCCCCCAAAGGGGCCCCCAAAGGGGCCCCCAAAGGGGCCCCCAAAGGGGCCTTCTAAAAAGTCCCTTTTGTGGGGGCCCCCCACATTAGGCCCGCAGGGGCCCCCAGAAGTGCATTTTTAGTTCCTAAGAAGACCCTATTTGATTTGATAGAATACCAGCTAGCTGTAGCTAGCTGTAGCTAGCCACAGCTAGCCATAGCTAGCCACAGCTAGCCATAGCTAGCCACAGCTAGCCGTAGCTAGCTGTGGCTAGCTGTAGCTAGCTATAGCTAGCTGTAGCTAGCTGTGGCTAGCTCTACTTCGCTGGAGGCATTCTGCAGCCAGTTCTGGCTAGCTGCAGCAGCTGCACACCCCACCCTTTCTATCTCTTTAGCACTTTTGTCTTCTTTTTAATTATTTATTTTTAAATGTTTTCTTTTGCTGCTTTTTTTTTAAAGCTGCTTCTTTCTCAGTCTCAAGCAGCAGCAAGCCGGCCCTTTAAGCTGCACAAACACAGCAGCCACAAGCCCCTAGGGGCCCCTAGGGGCCCCCCTGAAGTGTGGGGCCCCCGGGGGGCCCCCACGAAGTCTGGGGGCCCCTGGGGGCCCCCACGAAGTCTGGGGCCCCCTGGGGGCCCCCATGAAGTCTGGGGGCCCCTGGGGGTCCCCACGAAGTCTGGGGGCCCCTGGGGGCCCCTCGTTTCGGGGCCCCAAAGGGGCCCTGAGAACTGCTAGTTTGGGGGCCCCCTAGGGGCCCCCAGGGGCCCCTAGTGTGGGGTTTCTAGGGTTTCATTTAGGGGGCCCCTAGGGGCCCCTAGGGACCCCGAGGGGCCCCTAGTGTGGGGTTTAGGGGTTGATTTAGGGGGCCCCTGGGGGCCCCTAGGGGCCCCCAGGGGCCCCTAGTGTGGGGTTTCTAGGGGTTAATTTAGGGGGCCCCTTAAAGACCTTAAGGGCCCCTAAAAGGGCTACTTAAGGGAACTCTTTGGGGCCCCTTTTGGGGCGTCCTTAGGGGCCCCTCTAGAACTCCCTTAAGGGGCCCCCTAGGGGCCCCTTTAGGCTTTGGGATTCCTAAGTGCCTACTGGCTGCTGCTGCTGCTGCTGCTGCTGCTGCTGCTGTTGCTGCTGCTGCTGTTGGGCAAGCAGGGGCCTCCGAGGCTCCTTGGGTTGCAAAGTCTATTCTAAGGGCCCCTAAAGGCTCCAGGGGCCCCCAGTACCCTGTGAACCCCAGGGGCTTAGGGGGCCCCTCAAGGGGCCCCTGAAGCACCCAGGGGCTTCAGGGGCCCCTCAAGGGGCCCCCCAAAGGCCCACAAGCTATTGGGGGGTCTAGGGGCCCCCAGGGGCCCCAGGAAGGTCTAGGAGCCCCTGGGGGCCCCTAAGGGGTCTAGGGGCCCCCAGGGGCCCCCAGGGGCCCCTAATGGGTCTAGGGGCCCCCAGGGGCCACAGAAAAGGGTTCAAAAACCCAGGGGCCCCCCGATGTCTCTAGGGGCCCCTGGCAACTCTGGGGGCCCCCCATAGAAAACCCCCAGTGACTCTGGGGGCCCCTGGGGGCCTCTGGGGACCCTTGGGGGCCCCTGGGGGTTCTTGGAGGCCCCGGAGGGCCCTTGAGGGACCCTGGGGGCCCTTGGGGGCCCCTGAGGGCCCCTGGAGGCCCCTGAGGGCCCCTGGGGGCCCCTGAGGGCCCCTGGGTGTTGTGGGTTTTTGCAGCAAAATGCGAATAAGTGGCTCACAGGGGCGCTGCTGCTGCTGCTGCTGCTGCTGCTGCTGCTGCTTGCTGCTTCTTTTTGTGGGCATCGCTGGCTGGCGAAGGCGTTGCTGTTGGCGCTGCAGTTATCCCTTGTTCTGCTGCTGCTGCTTCAGCGCCTTGCTCTTGCTTCTGCTGCTGCTGCTGCTGTTGCTGCTGCCGCTGCTGCTGTTGCTGCTGCTGCTGCGCAGCGCGTGAGGGAGGCTCGTGGAGGCGGCGGAGACACATGAGGGCTACAGCAGCAGCAGCGCGCTCTTCCTCCAGCTGCTGTGCTGCTGCTGCTGCTGCTGCTGCTGCTGCGCTGTGTGGCAGCTTCTTCCCTGCAGCAGCTTCTGCTGCATCTGCAGCAGCAGCACGCGCGCTGCCGCCTGCGGCTTTTGCTGCTGCTGCTGCTGCTGCTGGACCCCCTGCTGGGATGGGAGACCGCAGCTTCAGCAAGCTGCACAGCTGCCTGCAGGCAGCATAGCGAAGCACAGCAGCAGCAGCAAGTTGCGAAGAGCAGCAGCAGCAGCAGCAGGTAAATGGCAGCAGCATCAGCAGCAAGTCGAGAAGAGCAGCAGAAGGAGCAGCAGCAGCAGCAGAAATATGGCAGCCGCAAGCAACAGCAAGTTGAGAATAACAGAAGCCGCAGCACCAGCAGCAGCAGCAGCAGGAGTACGGCAGCAGGAGCAGCACCCAGCCTGAGCAGCAGCAGCAGCAGCAGCAGCAGCAGCAGCACGTGCCTGCAGCAGCAGCTGGCGAGGCCCTGGGCAATTAGGACTGGGGGCCCCTCCAGGTAAGAGTTGAGGGGCTGCTGGCAGCAAAGGTCATTAAAGGCTTGCGTGATGCATGCAGCAGCAACAGCAGCACAGAGAAACAGCTGCAGCTTCCTGCTGCTGCTGCTGCTGCTGCTGCTGCTGCTGGGGGTGAGGGCGAAGCACTGCAGCGCCTGCTGCAGCTGCAGCAGCACCTCGTCGTCAGCATCAACAGCAGCAGAAGAGACACAAAGAATAGGACCACTTTGCTGATTTGCTGCTGCTTGGCTTTGCTGCCTGCTGGGCGCAAACGCCGAGAACAGCCGCTGCTGCTGCTGCTGCTGCTGCTGCTGCTGCTGCTGCTGCTGCTGCGGGTTTATGGGGCCCCCCTCGGGGGGCAAGTGGGGCCCCGGGGGCCTCGAAATGAAAAACAGCATTTGCTGCCAACGCTGCACTGCTGCTGTCTCACGCAACTCCGACTCCTAAAAAGAAAATAAAAAGAAGACAAAAAAGAAATTAAAAGAAATAAAATAAAAAAGAAATTAAATAAATTAAATAAATTAAATAAAAAGAAATTAAAAAGAAGATTAAAGAGGTATTAAAAGGAAAATAAAAAGAGGAAATTAGGAAGAAGGTAAAAGAGAAAATGAAAAAGAAATTTAAAACGTTAAAAGGAAATCAAAACAAATTACAAACAAAAAAGAAATAAAGAAATGAAAAAAGAAATAAAAGAGAACAAGAAAAGAAATAATTGGAGACGAAAAGAGATTTAAAAAAACAAAAAAAAGAAAAAAGAAAAAAGTAGAAGGTAAAAACGAAAAAGGAAAAAGGACAAAAGGACAAAGGGAATTAAAAAGAATAAAGATCAAAAAACGAACAAAAAAGACACAAAAGGACATATTAAGCAAAAACCAGTCATCAGCAGCAGCAGCAGCAGCAGCAGCAGCAGCAGCAGCAGCAGCAGCAGCAGCAGCAGCAGCAGCAGCAGCCCACCGCCTCGCTCTGCTCCGTCTCCTCCAACGACTGCTGCTGCTGCTCCTCTGCTGCTGCTTCTGTGTCTTCTTCTCCTTGGCCAAAAAGTCCCGCAACAGTTCTTATCAAACCCGCGCCATCCAAAGCCCTCAAAGCAGCAGCTCGGTT